TTACGATATCAGGCAGTGCAGGACCATGAACCCAATTGTTCTGATTCCCACGCCCACATTTTTCACTATGGATAAGTAAGGAGGCCATCTTGCAGTGGATGATTCTTTTGTCCTCCTTAAAGAGTATAATGATGAGGCGTGAAGCATAATCTGCTACAGTTTATCATATCAACCAACCAATATCCACTTCTGTTGATCAGGGTGGACTAAATGAAACAGAAGAAACTTGCAATACAGTGTTCGTGACTTTTGAAGTCAGGTTGGAAAGGGAGAATGGGAAAGCAAATTGAACTGGGAAAAATTAACAGAAGGAAATTAACACAATCCAACAGATACTGGTAGATGAAGTTGCAAGGAACTTATGATTGAAGTGAGTAAAGGAAGTCTTACCTCATCCAAAAGGAATAAGTTTACAAGATGAGAGATGCAGGTGCAGAGTAACCCCATGCAATAGAACTATTCAGCTGGTGGAAACATAATGGGAGAACAGTAGCTAGAAAATAGGTTGAGACTAAAGATGAGGATATAGAAGGGATACTCTGCCGTCAGAATATGCAGGTGTCTGTGTGTGTTTCTCTCTCCAGTGGCAGTATCCAGTAGTCAGAGGGTCTTCTAATTTTTCTAGGCTCACAAAGAGAAATAACTGGCATCACAATGACTGGCTACAGGGAGAAAGGAATTTCTGATAAGTAGAGGGGCCAGAATCAGGGAACTGACCCCACTCCAGGGCTGGCTGCCAAAGGGAGTAGCCGGAGGCCAAGTCCTCATATTCCAGGGACCACGTCATTCCACAGGGTGTTTCTTAACAAGATCAGATTTTCAAAGAGCACGTATTAAAGAGTAGCACAAGGACTGACACTTTCTTGTAGGCTTAGATAATTTTTGCTTTTAAAAGAATACCAAGGAATTTTCAGAATTTTTTTTTTCCGTTTTTCAAGTAATCATGCCACAAAAGAATGAACAAGAAAGGATGAAAGCCACTTCCTGGGTGCTGATGATATAATGCTACCAAATGACAAAAAAAGGGGGGGGCAAGACCGCTCAACTTTTGTCTCCTCTCGCAAAGCAAATACTTTTTCATTAAAAATGATTTTAGTGACTAAAAGGCTATTGAAATCCAGTGTGGTAAATGAGCAACTAACCATTTTAAGTGAGTTAAAGTTTCCAGGCCTAAATAAGTTATCCATGAAAAATTCGCATTCGTGATCAATACTAGTCAGCTTTGGGAAGCCAGAGAAAAATAAGAAATGCCGAAAGATTAAAGAGGGGCAAATATTGTCTTAATTTTCAAAGAGCATAAAAAGCAAGACAGAGTTTGAAGATTACTGGTAAATTGACAATGTCTACAATGCATTTTTTTCTTTTTTTAAGTAATTGGTACACCCATCGTGGGGCTCAAACTTAACAACCCTGAGATCAAGAGTCAGAGGCTCTACCAGCTGAGCCAGCCAGGTGCCCCCCAAATGAATTTTTAAACAAATATTTTAAGGATAGGGAGAGATTGAGCTTATGAATGGCAATTTCATTTTTGTGTGTGTTTACACCTACTTCTGTCAAGTTCTTAGTGGAAAAACAGGATTTAATGCAGATTTTTCAAATTAAGAAACTTAAAGGTACTGCTTCACCACTGTAAACCCTTGCAAGTCTAGTATGATTACGAAATCAGCAGTATCAGCATCACCTGGGAGCCCGACGGCACTGCACTCTCAGGCCCCACCCCGACCTAGTGAATTAGAATCTACATTTACACGGGATCCCTAAGTGATTCATAAATATTAAGATTTGAGAAGCACTGAAGAAGGGAAAGTTAGAGGGACAAATAAGAGATGGCAGGGCACCCCAAAACTCCTAACATTAAGAAACCGTTAATACTCCCAGGGCGAAGGGAACAAAGTGCAGTGTCTTCCTTGCTTGCTCTCCTGTTCCATCTCCTTGGTGAAGCCATTTCTCTTCTGCTTACAGGCAGGGTGAGTAGGTCCTTTTGCTCTACTTTAAAAATCCCATAATTCATATATCTTTTCAAGGATTTGTCTTGTCTATCAGAGTTGTTTAAACATCTGTCTCTCAGTAGACTGTGTACACTGGTTAAGATTCAGAGAGGTGCCTGCATTTAAAAATTTTCGGTTTCTACCACAGTGCTGGGCACAGAGGTAATCTAAAAAGGTAATCTAATCCCTTACCAACTCTATTAGAGAGGAACTATTATTATTTTTAAAAGATTTTATTTATTTCTTTAATAGAGATCACAAGTAGGCAGAGAGGCAGGCAGAGAGAGAGGGGGAGGCAGGCTCCCTGCTGAGCAGAGAGCCTGATGCGGGGCTTGATCCCAGTACCCAGAGACCATGACCCCAGCTGAAGGCAGAGGCTTAACCCACTGAGCTACAAAGGCGCCCCAGAGAGGAACTATTACTAAACAGACTTTAAGATGAGAAAATTAAAGTGCTGAAAGGTTAGGTAATTTGCCCAATGTCACGCAGTAATGAAGTGGTAATGCCAGGATTTTTTTTTTTTTAAATTTTTGTGTGTTTATTTGACAGAGGGATAGCACAAGCAGGGGAAGGAGCACAGGGAGAGGGGAAAGCAAGCTCCCCACTAAGCAAGGAGCAGGATGGGGGAAAAGGGGCTCAATCCTGGGAGGCTGGGATCATGACCTGAGCAGAAGGCAGATGCTTAACCGACTGAGCCACCCAGGCACACCTAAAGCCAGGATTTTCCAATCTAGGCAGTCTGGTTGTAGAACGATAAACAGCTTCATAATGAGAAATGACATTCTGAACTAGCCTTCCTTGGCCAACAGTAATTAAACTGTATTTTCATTGAATATATTTATGTCTACCTGCCAAAACAAAAAACGAGGAGGAGGGAATTTAAGGCATGGCTTCTTGTCAGTGAAAAACTTCAGGCTGAAGTGGGGTAAATTTTGATGCTTTTGTCCTAAAAGGGTTACCTCCAACAGATGAGATGTTGGAGTAAGTCACCTTAGGCTTTTGTGATTAACCTACCCACAAAGGCAGGGAGTTCACATTCTTCTAATCTAATCCGAGGTTTTCAACATAAACACTTACAAACCAGAGACGTAAATAAAGATAAAAAAATTAAGTTCTGCCATCGGGTTTGGTCAGTCTAACACAGAATGGAGAGCTGGTTTCCAAACGCCCTTTCATTCCGCTGGCCACGTGAGGAACTTCGCGGCTTGCCTGAGACCTCCTGTCCCCGGGCGGATACAGTCTCGTCCACCCCGAGGGAGAAGGAACAAAATGGCTCTATACGGAGAGCCGCAGATCGCAGTGTCCCTGTCTTCCCCTTCCCTTTGCCCATCACGCGTCCACCGGGCAATCTTAATTGGACACGGAGCTTGCGGAGTCCCGACACTCAGGCTGGGCCTCGTCCTCACAAGGTCCGAGTCCGAGTGGGGGGCGGACACTGGCTGAAACCCACGAGGTTCGTGCGCGCAAGCCCGAGCCCGCCCACCACGGACAGTCCCCATTCAGAGACCCTCGTCCTTCTCCACGACAGTCCTTTCGTCGTCGTCTCATCCCTGGGCGGGGGATTCGGCCTTGAACCCCTCCTCCCCTCCTCCCCTCCCGGGCGACCCAGGCTCCGCTTCGCACCAGCCGGGCCCGCGCGCTGAGCCCACTCGGCCTTCGCCCGAGGCTGCGCGTTCGGGTTCGGCGCCCGCGGGGACAGAGGCAGGCGCAGGCCCGGGGAACCTGGCCGCTCGGGCTCAGGTCAGACTCCGAGGCGCCGGCATCCCGAGGGGCGCTCGTCTTTCACCCGATTCACCAGGCCCAGGTTTTCCCTGGGGGCGTCCTCGCGGGGCTGATCGCTGCGCTTCACCGCCTCGGCACACTGTCCTGCGCTCCCGTCCCACTGCTTCCGCACGCCCGGCCCCGTGGCTGTCCTCAGTCACTTCGTCCCCGTGGGCCGCCCCTCCCGCTCCACGACGGGCCGCGGGTGTCTGCAGCACCTGCCCGCACCGCTCGCCGCCCAGCACGCGCCAGGTCCTGCCACTGCGCTCGCCACACAGGCAGCCGCGAGCCCCAACATCTGCGGCGAGGGCCCTTCCCCGCCGCGGGGAGCTGTTCGGCCCCACGCGCGCCCGCAGCCGCAGCAGCCCCGCGCGGTCGCCGCGCCCCCAGCCGCAGTCCCGGCCGCGCGCCTCGGCGTCGGCGGGTCTGTGTCCCGCGGTCAGGCCGGCCGAGCCCCCACGTGTGACCCGCGAGCTCTCGCTGCAGCGCAGGCCGCGGCCCCACGCTCCCGGCGGCCGACAGCGGCGCGGGGCGGCCTTTCCTCGCTCTCCGGCCGGCCGCGGTCGGCCTCTGCTCCGCGACCCCCCACCCGCCGGCACGCCACGGCGACAGCTGGCAGCCGCCCGCCCGGTGGCCTCTCCCTTCGCAAGAGAACAGTGGAGGCCGCGCTTGCCTCCTGGGGGTGCCCAGCCCCGCCTCCGTCGCCCCCCACCCCCGGTGGCCGCCGCCCTTCCAAACCGGCTCCCCCGGTGAAGCCCGGGGCCAGCTTTACGCGAGGTGATGTCCCCGCGGACCTGCCGCGCCCCACTGCCCCTTCCCCTCTCCGCAGCCTCTCCAGCCGTCCGCGGCGGGAAGCGCGTGGCGGGACCCGGGGCTGGGACCTCCGCGCCCGGGATTTCACTCGGACTCCGGCACGTGGTGGGCCGGGGGGTGGCGGCCGGAGTCCCGGCTGGGGGAGGGTCGGCGGCACCGCAGAGGGCGGTCCGGGGGCCCCGGGCTTTGGCGGGGGGCGAGTCCAGCGGCCCGAGCCGGCGGACCCCAGCGGCGGGCCCGCGCGTCGTCCTCCCTCCCACAGCCCCAGCCCGGCGCGCGGACTCGCACCCCTGCGGCGGGAGGCAGATGGTCCCTTCCGGGCGGGTGGCCATGTTGCTCCCATAAAGCGGGCGGGGCGGCGGCGGGGGGGAGCAGAGGCGGCCGCGGCGAGCGGGAGCCGGAGCAGGCAGAGCGCAGCCGCGAGCGAGGCGCGGGGGAGGGAGCGGCCGGAGCCCGAGCAGCAGCAGCAGCAGCCGGCGTCGGCGGGGAGCACCGAGCGCAGTCGGAGCCGCAGCCGCGATGGCCGTGGCCGTGGGGAGACCGTCTGTGAGTGCTGGGGCCGCGCTCCCCGTGCCCGCGGCTCCTCCGGCGCCGGGTGGTCCCCGCTTTCCGGCGGGCGCGGGCGGGGAGTAGGGGGCCCGGGCGGGGGCTCCGGGCGGCGGCGGCTGTGGGCGTGTGCGCTGGATCGCGCGCGGGTCGCGAGCGGAGGGCAGGGGCCGGGCGGCGGGTGTCTCCTCCGCGGTGCCACCGTGTGTCGCCTGGCGCGCCCGGGTCCAGAGCCGAGCGGGAGAGAGGACCCCTTCCCCGCTTCCCTTCGGAGGGCTTCTCGGAGCCGCGCTGCTCCTGCCTCCCTCTCCGCGCGCACCTTTTCTCTCGTGACTGGCGAGACGCGCGCCGAGCGCGGGGTTTCCTCCGGGCTCCCGCGCCGAGGGGCCGCCGGGTCCGGGGAGCTGCTCGCCCTGGCGCGCTGTCACGCGGCGCTGGAAGCGGCTCCGAGAGAAAAGGGTGGGATTTCCGCGGTGGCTTCCCCGGTGCATTGTGAGGCCTCGGGCCCCCCCAGGCACCCACCCGGCCGCCCCGGCCCTGCCCAGGATGTGGACAAAAGCCCTGGGCGCGCACACAAAGTTTGCACAAGGCGCCCTTGTCGGCCGGGTGGGAGCCCGGGGGCGGCGAAGCGAGGAGGCGGGAGCGCGAGGAGCGGGCAGGCAGGGCGGGCGCGTGGGGCGCCGGTGCCCCGAGGCTCGCTCGCAGCGACGGAGGGACCGAGGGGACGCTCCAGCCGCCAATGCCCGCGGCTGGGCTGCGAAACTCCGTGGCGACTCGGAGCCGGGCTTGGCGGGTGCGGGCTCAGCCCCGGCTCCGCGTCCGGTCCCCAAGGCAAGGAGGGGGAAGGGGCGGCGGCGACGGCTGGTCCTTTTCGTTGAAAAGATCCGAGCGGGGTGGGGACGGCGGAGTCCCCTCTCTTCACCCATTTCTTTGTCGTGTTCAAAGTCCACTTTATCCCGATGGTGTCGGGGGCGCCTTGAGCAAGGTGTTTCCCGCCCTCGCGTCCCCTTTTCCGTTTCTCATCGCTTGCCACAAGTGTGTGGCTGCAGGTGGTGGCTCGAGGTGACGCACGGAAGTCGTGCAAGGATCCTGGGGGCTCTGAAGCCCCAGGAGGGCGAGGCTGTGCCCCGGCTCCTGAGTCCTCTCAGATGTGGCGCTTTTTGTCGCCCCCGCCCGGGGACGTTCGCGGGGACCCTGTGCGCGTTCTAAGGCGGGTTTGGTGGCTCCGCTGCCGCTGCCGGGGTGTTTTCGAAGACGTTCCCTGAAGCGTAACTGTGGGTCTTTCAGGCATTTTGTACTCTCACATTTAATGACCCACGCTTGAGAATTTAGGTTTCCTCCTGCGCACAAGTTGTGCTCTTCATAGTGGTCGTGGATTGTTGTTACTGACGAAATTTACAGACTGTGCTAATCCCTTTATTTTGCGGGCGAGGAAATTGAGGTCCAGAAAGGCCAAGTTTATCTGACTAAATTATTCCCACCCCTCTCCCCGGTCTCCACACTATATTTACTTCCAGGGCACAGATTCCAATAACTAAAATAACAATATCTACTTGAGATCATTGGACAGCGTCTGGGAATGCAGGTTTGCGAGGTGGGGGGTAGTGTCCCTACACTTATTGCTGGTGCATTCTTGAGGCTTGGGGGAGGTGGAAGAAATAATTTGCTGCACATTTTCTATAAATTAGTTAGTTCATATATGTCAGTTAAATGGGAACAGTGTGTGGATTTAAGATTTAGTTGTGCGGCCATAATCATATCCAGCACCAGGTCTGCCAGCCAGATGTGAGCTTAATCCCACAGAATTCTTGTGAAAGGCCTCTCTCACTCAAATAATAGGGGAGATTTTAAAAAGTGTATATGTACAGAGGAGGTAACTGCTTTCTCTGCACATTCCCTGTTGTCACTGGAATTAAGATTAAATTACAGTTTAAAAACAGAAGACTTTTTTTGGACCAAGTTGTGGTATGAGTGATCCAGGATTGACTATACAGAGTTGAAAAGTCTTTTCATACATTTCCAAGGAATTGTTGAATTGTTTCACTTTGTTCATTCAGTTCTTAAGTGATGCCTGTAGTTATGTCTCAAGACAGCCCGGATGAACACAGAATATTTCTCCAAACCCAGTTCCAAGGATCGACACTACATCCTTCATCGTGGAATTCCCTGCCCCTCCTATTCTCCGATTTGAACAAATGGAAGGGTGTGTTGAGAGAAGAGAATCACTCCAAAATTGGTTTGGAGTTTCCCTAGTTACTCCTTTAGAATTAGCCTTTTTTCCCCTTGAAGTTGTTTATGAAAACAGGAACAGTCTCCTTGCCCTGCAGACTGCCTCTCCTATCCAGATTGAAGGAAGGTGCAATTAGATTAATTTGTTCTCAATTTAGGTTTTCTTGAACTTGAACGTCTTAGTGTGACCTTCTGGGTAAATAAGAGATTTTACCAGAGAAAAGTCCTTATATGTCAGATGCAGTATTTTCTGTCTTACGAAGTGGTTATATTCAGTTATAATCATTTAAACCTTAAGGCTCAATTCAGATGTTTCTTAAGTGGATTTGTTGACTGGAAAACACAGAGGCTTCAGTTTGGTGTGATACTGTTTATTTCTGTTCTAATCTCAACCCATAGCTTCTCCATTTTCTCGTGGATGGTCTTGGTGCTTGGCTCTCAGACGACCCTGAAGCACATTTGCTGTTCCCAGGATGTAACTCATGAACAGCAAGAGCATTTCTCCCCGAGTGATGTGTCCACGTTTTGGATGAGTTAGTATTTTTGCACCCAAGTCCCGGGGCAGCTATTACCTTTATTTTAAACAGAGCATGGTAATTTCCTGTACCTGGGAATCAGGCTTTAGGTAGCCGATCCAGTCTCTCTTAAGGTGTGATGTGATGTTCAAGTTACAGAATCTAGGAGGTGAAAGGAACCTTTAGAGGTTATTCGGGGGGCGCCTGGGTGGCTCAGTGGGTTAAAGCCTCTGTCTCTGGCTCAGGTCATGATCCCAGGGCCCTGGGATGGAGGCCTGCATCGGGCTCTCTGATCAGTGGGGAGCCTGCTTCCCCCTCTCTCTGCCTGCCTCTCTGCCTGCTTGTGATCTCTCTCTCTCTGTCAAATAAATCTTAAAAAAAAAAAAAAAAAAAGAGGTTATTCGGTTCACCCTTTTTCAATACAGAAAAATTTCTTATTTTATCCCTAATAGAAGGTATGTATTTAAACTTTTCTGGTGGTGGAGCATTTCCGTGATATCCTTCAAGAAATATGTTTAATTGTTCTTTTATCTGATGAGCCAAAAGAAACGGAAAGCCCCTCCAAAAAAAAAAAAAAAAAAAAAAAGGAAAGCCAAGTTCATTCATTCACTGATGTAAAGCTATTAATTGAGTACCTCCTGCATGCCAGGTACTGTACTAGGAGCCAGGGTTACAGGAGTGGACAAGAAATTCTCTTTTTTCCCAGAGCTTTTATTTTCTGAGAGATTTAGTATCTATGTATATTAAAGTGATGAACTTCAGTGGAGTATGGAAGCCGTTTAGGGAGGAAGGAAATTATGTGCCTCTTGCTGAGTCAACAGTAACGATGCAGGTAAAGATCTCGTCTGGGAATCATGGACAGTTCCTGAAGATACAGTCTGTTTTCAGCAGGAGGGTGGGGACTGACAAGGAAATGTTATTTTCCCTTGTTATAAAATTGCCAATTACATCTTGAGGTTGTAGCCCCCCATGTGGAGGGCTCTGGCTCTTTTCTACCTAGAGAAAGATGAATGGAGCTGAGAAATGTCCAGAGGGGTAGCTGTCATCTAGGGAGAAATTTTTTTTTTAATTTAATTTAATTTTATTTTTTATAAACATATAATATATTTTTATCCCCAGGGGTACAGGTCTGTGAATCGCCAGGTTTACACACTTCACAGCACTCACCATAGCACATATAGGGAGAAATTTTTAAAAATTAAAACTCTTTAGTAAATGTTACAAATGATACACAATGAGTCTGTATAAGCAGTTATTAAGGAATGGAGGAAGTGCTTGATGTACGGTAATCTTTCCTTAAACATTTTAAAAGCTGTAGTTTTTTTCATCTTTTAAAATACCTTCTTTAAAAGGGGCGCCTGGGTGGCTCAGTGGGTTAAAGCCTCTGCCTTCTGCTCAGGTTATGATCTCAGGGTCCTGGGATTGGGTCCCACATCGGGCTCTCTGCTCAGCAGGGAGCCTGCTTCCCCCTCTCTCTCTCTGCCTGTCTCTCTGCCTACTTGTGATCTCTCTGTCAAATTAAAAAAAGAAAAGAAAAAAAAAACCCTTCTTTAAAAATGATATGTTTATGGGCGCCTAGGTGGCTCAGTGGGTTAAGCCCCTGCCTTTGGCTCAGGTCATGATCTCAGGGTCCTGAGATCGAGCCCCACATGGGGCTCTCTGCTCAGCAGGGAGCCTGCTTCCCCCCTCTCTCTGCCTGCCTCTCTACCTGCTTGTGACCTCTCTGTCAAATAAATAAATAAAATCTTTTTAAAAAAATCATATGTTTAGACAATGAAAAATAGACCCATTCAAATGATTAAAAGAATGAAACTACCCATTTCCACCATCCTTATATAAGAGCTCCCAGATTGTTAGTGTATTTTCATCGACTGTGTGAGATTTACACAGGTAAGCATAACCTCTCTCATATAAACTGCCACTTAGAAACCAAACTGTGTGCCTGGTAGACCCTGTGTGTTTGGACACTCATACAACGTAGGAAACGGATGCTTAGTGCTTTCAAAGGGGCCACCCCGTGTCTGTGTCCAGACAAAGGAATGAATGATTTGGATGTCCTACTTTGAAGACCAGTGTTTATAGCCACTGATGATGCCACGGCTGATAATGATCTTTGGGTTTACGGTCTCTGTGGGGCAGAGCTTTCTCTGCCTGTGTTTCTCCTTATAGGACCTTAAATTTGACTGGGGATGGGGTGGGTAGGGGCTGTTGCTGGATTTTACAATTTATTGAAAATTCTCTTTCATGGTACTAGTT